GGCCCGCCCCTCCCCGTCCCTCCCCGGCCGGTGCCTGCCCTGCCCGTGCCATCCCTGCCCGTGCCAGCCCTGCCCGTGCCATCCCTGCCCGTGCCTGCCCTGCCCGTGCCTGCCCTGCCCGTGCCATCCCTGCCCCTGCCCTGGTTCCTGCCGGGCTGCTCGGCCCTACCAATCCTCAAAGGAGTGAAATACAATTAAATGAATTTACTGAACGGGGATAAAACTGAGCTGAAATCCCCCTTGTCCTTTGACAGCCCCTCTGGTACAAGTGTCTCTTCCAGGTCCTTGGCAGAGAACCCATCTCGGTTGTTGTTTGTGGCTGATTCACCTCCTGTTTGGGAACAGCCTGGGGGGCTCTGTCCTGCTGCTCTTGGATCTGGGCACTTCCCAGCCTTTCTCACTTGGGTGGAATTTCTGTTTAAACCAGGATTGACGAGGAGCTGCTGGGGGATGGTCACAGCTACAGCCCCAAGGCCATCCACTCCTGGCTGACAAGAGTCATGTACAACCGGAGGTCCAAGATCAATCCTCTCTGGAACACCGTGGTCATTGGAGGCTTCTACAACGGGGAGAGGTGAGCAAGGACAGGGGGTGGTCACTGCGTGTCCCTCCAGGGGCTGCTCCTGGAGGAAGGCTCTGGAGCTGCATCCCCCCCAGCCCTTCCTGCTCCCCCTCCAGCTTCCTGGGGTACGTGGACATGCTCGGCGTGGCCTTCGAGTCCTCGACGCTGGCGACGGGTTATGGAGCCTACCTGGCCCAGGTAGGATCTGCTCGTGCTCAGCTGCTAAAGCCCCGGGTGACTGAGCTGTTGAGATACAGGGTTTTATTCCCCCTCCCCAGCCGCTGATGAGGGAGGTGCTGGAGAAGAAGCCCAGCCTGACGCAGGGGGAGGCGCGGGAGCTGATCGAGCGCTGCATGAGGATTTTGTACTACAGGGACGCGCGGTCGTTCAACAGGGTGAGGCTGCAGCAGGGCCACCTCTGAGGGTTCCCACGGGCCCCGGCACAGCCTTGGGGCTTGAGTTGGGGTTTAACTGAGCAGGACCCGTGTTCTCTCTCCTCAGTATGAAGTCGCTATTGCGACAGAGAAGGGCGTGGAGGTGGAGGGACCCCTGACGCTGGAGGCCAACTGGGACATCGCGCACCTGGTCAGGTGAGGCCCCTGGGTTGGACCCTCTGAGCTCCTCATCCAGCAGAGCCTGGAGGCACAAGGAGGGGGCAGCAGGGGCTGGGGGACACGGCCCTGCCACAACCAGCTCCATCCACCTGGGGCAGCAGCTCCAAGGTCGGTGTGAGCTCCCCTGGGAATGGGGAAGCTTTGTGGGATGTCCTGGCTGCTTCGCTGCCTCCGCATCCCCTGGGAAGTGCTGTCACCAAGGGGCAGCTCCTGGTCAGAGCCAAAATGCTGCTGCTGCTGCATCCAGAGGTGCAGCCTCCTGACCTCACCCCACATCTCTTTGCAGTGGCACCGAGTGACCCCCCAGGACCTGCTCCCACATCCTCACCCTTTGTACACGTGTCCATCCCCTTCTCCTTTGGAACCTCTGACCTGACTTGTTTTGGAGATGAAATAAACCTGTTGAGACAAGGCTGTGTTGTGTCGGGGCTGGGTTTGGGGGACACTCCAGGAACCCTCCTGGTTTCCAGCAGTGGTTACAGCAGCTGCCAAGTCCTTCTTTGTGCTGGAAAAAGAGCAGCAAAAAAATGGCTCCTGATTTGTCTGGGCTGGGGTTCCAAGAGGTTCTGTCCTCCTAGATCCAGCTTCACCCTCAGCCTCTCAAAGCCACCTGTGGACAGAATAAAAAACCCACATCTTTAAACATGTTTTCTGTTTAAAAAATAAAAGTATTTGTGAGGAGGACAGAGCTGGGAAGCAGGGTGAGTGAGGGGCTCTGGGCAGGGGGTGCAGGGTGTCCTTAGTTCCCTCTCATCACCAAGAACAGAATAATGAAGATCTCCCTGTTTAAATTCCTGTCTCCTGGGAGCAGCTGGAGGTGCAGAACAGTCAGAAGGGTGGGATGTGGGTTCAGACAGGGCTGAGCTGGGTGTTCCTCAGCCTTGTACCACATGAATCCATCAATAATCCCAAGAGGGGTAGTTCCTGCTACCAGAGATAAACAGCAGTAAAAATACATATTCAGGACAATGTTTTATTAACGATTTTATTTAAAAGAAAAAAAACCACTAAAATCTCACTGGGGAGAGGAGGTTGTTCCACTGGCCCTGCTGTGTGAGGGGAGGGGGGAGCTGCAGAAATGCAAAGGGGACTGACTGACTCGGGTGTTAATGACCTGTAACCACGTTTAATTACTGTCCCAGCTCGGGGGGTTCTTCAGGCCCAGGGAGGGGCCCCAGCCCAGATCACACAGTTCAGGCTGCACTTGGACTGGAGCACGAGGATGGCACAAGAGTTCAACAGTTTTCATAATAAAAACACATGTTTATAAATCCATTTCCCTGGTTTTATTAAATGTTCCACTTATGTACATTTTAAAGATGAACCATTTACAGGTCTGCACATGCTGCCTCCTGCTTTCCTGGGGCACTGGGGAAGGTTCACAAAACCTCTATGGAAACAGAAAGGTGCAGGTGCCTCTGGATTCCATTTTGTCAAAATGCTTCCGTTGATACCATAATACATACAGTTAAAAAACCCTCAAACATGCAAATTGTAGAAAAATTTAAGCTGGCAGTGAAAAATAAAAACAAACGTCCTCTTTTTTTTTTTTTCCTTTTTCCTGTGTGTGTGTGTGCACCTCACAGTTTGTTTCATTAAATCAATCTCTAATTCTAAGGAACGTAGTGTCTGATGCTGCTGGTTCAAGCAGGTTCATCAACCACCAGTAGTTCAGGGTCGACCTCCCATGGTCTCAACTCCCACCCCCCAGGCCCAGGGAGGTCAAGACAGGCTTGACCTTCCTCTCCCACCACGTTCCCTGTCAGGAACTCTTTGGAGCAAGGTGGGTGCAGGGGAGGAACCACCACACCCAGCCAGGGATGGGGGGAAGGGGACAGTGCTGCCCCCCCCTCCTCACCCACTGCTGGCCTGAAACAGGCAAAATTCAGTTGTCTTTTTACCCCACGTTCAAACTCACAAGCAAAATAATAATTACTCTTCTTTACAAATTAAAAAAAGAAAAAAAAAAAAGAAACAACCAAACCAAACCCAAATTGGCCAATTAGAGAAGGTTCACACAATTAACTCATTGCTAAATTTTCCATAGAAACCTAAATCTCTGGGCCAAGTGTTAAAAAAAAATAATAATTAGAAAAAAAAATAATCTGTGTTAAGACAACCAAAAGGATTTATATACTGGTTCATTAGCTACATATTTTTTTTTTCCTTTCTTTAGAAATGGTCACATTGACAATGTATAATTCAAAACATTTCTGCACAATAAAAACAGAAAACTATGATACAGTGAGGTAAAGAAAACGCAAAAATATTCACCCACAATAGATCTTCAGAAAATACCAACACAGTGATTTTTCCTTTAAAAAAGCACAAAACTTATAAATGAACAGCATAAATGGCTATTTATCTGAGTGATCGCCTACGAATTTCCTAAACCCACAAATCCACAGGGAAGTGTAATGGTCTCATCCAACATTTATTGTTAAAAATACCCCTTTCCTGGATCCCGGCTCGCAGATCAGTGCTCAGATTTCCATCAGCTCCAAATCAGCCTCTTCAAAGCCATAGAAGGACTCAGTCTCACTTTCCCCCTCGAAGAGCTGCTGCAGGATCTCGGCCTCGGCCGATTCCTCGGCCTGGGTCGGGTCCTGGACCTCGGCCACCTCCTCCTGCTGCTGCTGCTGCTCCTCACTCAGCTTCAGCTGCTCCTCCAGCGAGGTGATCAGCTCCTCCTGCATGTCAGCGTTGCGGGTGGGGGAGTTGGCGGTGCCGTCCGGGCCGGGCAGCACGCTGGCCACCAGGAAGGACTGCTGCACCAGCTCGGGGGAGTCACTGATCACCTCCAGCACCTCTGCCAGCCAGCACAGCACCAGCTGCAGGAGGATGTCCGAGTCGCACGTCGAGTCCGCCATCTCCTTGGCTTGCTCTTTCCACTTTTTATGCAAGAAATTTTTCACAGTCCTTTTGATGCAAACATCGAGGGGTTGGATTTTGGAGCTGCAGCCCGCGGGGACGACGGCGGGCAGGGTGCTGGAGGTGCTCAGCAGGGACAGTACTTCCTCCGAGAGGTGCGTGCGGTGGCAGTCCAGCACCAGCATCCCCTTGCTGTTCTGGCACTCCGTGTGCTTCTGCCACACCCGGGATGCCCACAGCTCCATCACCTCGTCGTCGCTGTACCCGTTCTCCTTGGCTTCCAACATGATGGACTCGGGCACGTTGGCGGGTTGCTGGACGTGGCCCCTGTAGAAGACCAGGGTGGGGAGGACGCTCCCGTCGGCCAGGATGGTGAGGACCACGTCGCACCACGGCTCCCCGTTCCCCACCGTCTGCAGAGCGTTCTCCTTCCGGTCGTCGCTGCCCAGCACCTCCACGTCCAGGAAGAGGGAGATCTCGTCGATGGCTGCGATCATGGAGAGGGGCAGGTCCTGGGTGTGGATCTGCCGCTGCACGAACTCGATGAAGCAGCTGGCGTTGTCCTCCACGTCCTTGGGGAGGGGATGAGCCACGGCCCGGCGCGTGTGGGTGCTGAGGTGGTGCCGCAGCATGAACCTCACCGCCCACTCGTACGAGATCTTGAACCCGCCCTCCAGCGACCGCCCGATCTTGGTGGCCTTTTGGAACAGCGTCTCCTCGTTGACGGGCAGCTGCTGCTCCCGCTGTGTCAGCACCCACTCCGCCAGCTTCTCCTCGGCCTCCCGGCCCCGGGACTTCCCCCCCGACAGGCA